GGTTTTAAGAAATCATCAAAATGCCAACCATAGTTTTCAGGATTTGACTTCGCACACTTCGCACACTTTCTACTATTCAGGGTCCCATCACAAGCGACTGCGATGTTGGGTCCTTTATTATTACACAGTATACTTACCTCGGATCTCTCTGTCACACACTTCCACGCGCGATGAAATTAAAATCTTTAAAATTCGCAAACCCCTAATAGGACCGGAATTTTCGCAGACAACCCTATATCAACGTGTTCGCAATTAAACAGCGCTTATGAAGATATAAATTTTTTTAAATTATCCAATCCAGTGAAAGTAACTGGCATCGATATACCTGTGTTTACCTGACAACCCAGTAGTTCGCCCAGGTAAATAGTAGACAACCCAACGGCTGCACATTCTATACGTTTTATACTTTCAGTCACGACACAATTTTTTTATTATCCTGATGTTGCAACATTTAATTGAAAATAATTTTTCGAAAAATAATTAAAAATAGTCTGCCCATCAGGATTTTTTTAGCCAACCCATTTTTAATATGTTTTCTAATATACTAAATTCATGATAAAATATATTTCGTTCTATTATCAGCTCGGTGAAGGTCGATTTAGGTTCGGATCTTAGACTATATATCGAGTTTGCGATGTATGATTTCTGAATGTATGTGTTTGGCAGTGGCAGTCAAACCTGATAGTTATAATTTGTGATCATCAGGATTCACAAAGTATTTTATCAAGAATGATTCCACATCCGAAGGAAATGTGAATGATATTGGTGAACGACACGGATTACCGTCATGAGAAGCTGCACATAAAAGGTTGAATTCATCCTCTTGGCAATCGAATTATGTTCGTTGGCTGTACATTTTGGGGATAGTATATTGTGTTTTAGATATATTAATTGAAAGTGTTTATCAGGATATTTTGGGCTAGTGTGGACTTGATTAGACTATTTGCGTTTCATATTTCTCACATTTGTGTGATGGGTAATTGCCTACTTTTTGTAAAATAAGAATAAGTAGTACCTAATAGACTTGTCTGTTTCTACTGTCTATGTATCTTTATTTCTACACCATATCCACTTTCTTTGAACATTTGATATAACTATACAAAATTGGAAACCATTAAGAAACGTGTCCTGAACAGTTTTGTTGGAACGCCTCCAAGACAGTTTTGTTGAGACTGTCGTCTTGAAACGTGTCTGGAACGATGATGTTCCATGAAACTTCACTGAGGTAGGGCATTTACATTCTCTGGGAAGTTTCGGAAACTTCAGAAAGACTAAAGTGAAAATGTTTCAGATATGATGCGTAAGACATTTCTGAAACGTTTCTGATTCTGAAATATGTTTAGTGGGTAACTTACGTTGGTTTCAATAAATGTGTGCATCATGTGGTAACAATATCATAATGAAGTAAAACGTATTGAAAACTAAATCAAATAATATCTCATATCAACAGGTACAAACATTGAAATAGGAACGAAAAAACATAATAACGAAAATAAAAAAATCGGCTCATTCAGTTACTGAAATATAAAATTAAGATAATATAAATTTGAAAACGTACATTGGGAAAACATTTGGGTGGCAGAAAAATGAATGGGAAATTTATATTTCGGCAATCGTCCTTTTTCTTTGAGAAAGTATTTTCCGGACTTGTTACGCAAATTATTATATCAAATTATAGTAATCCAAGTTTCCTAACCTAAGCTGACATTGTTTTGTATACAATATTCGTCACTTATAGGTACAGTAGTAGTCGTAGGAAAAAGTATAGGTATATCACTTGCACTTTTATCGAGATCAATAAACATTTTACGATTGTAACAGCATTTTCAGCTGAAAATTATACCTAGGTATATGGTTAGGCATACATACTTATTTGAGTTGAATGTCAAAAAGAGATATTATGATGAAAACGATGAAATGCATTAGGTATAAAGATGATCTCCAACTATATAATAGCCACGGTGTCATTGTCATTGACCAAAGCAAAGTTTACAGAACGAGAGAGGTACCCACCAAGACCCATCAGTCACTCTCGGACAGCGAAGTCATTATCGACTATTGACTATTGAGATGAGTAAAATTTGAGGGGGAACTTTTGTCAATATACACCTCCATCTCGTGACAAAAACTGAAGGTGGAGTTCCTGGATTGCAGGGCAAGCCACGAGAGAATATAGGAGGTTTCTACAGTGTTTGATCGAATGTTTTACACCTTATCCGTTAGATGGCGGTACATGACAAATTTTAGGATATATTTGCCATGAGTGAGTTATAACTGATTATAATATAGGTATAGATGAAAAATAAACAATTTAGGTATGGTTCATTTTTGGAGTTGCATCCCTCACACATTGTAGTTTACAAAGTATTTACTAGATAAATTCGATATAATTATTATTGGTTATCAGGAAAGGCTAGGAAAGGAAGTCTTCATGTTCCGTCGCATTGACGGGTGAGTCAATATACGTTGATGTGAATGAGTGAATATGTAGCGTACAGGGTGCCCCATCCCCTGTATAGTTTATCCAAACTTAATTGGTGCGTCTCGGGCTGCACGTGCAGTCACTTCAAATGGATCTTCAAACCCGCCGACGCTGTGCGATGCGAGAGGTGATCCAATTGACTTTGGATAGACTTTAACCTAGATATGCCTAAATCTTTTTTGAGGAAATCAGAACTATGAATGCTCCATATTTCATCTGACTGTGGTCAAAATAAATGGAGTGAATGGATTTTATAATTTTTGTTCCTTGAGAGATTCAAAAATCTAGCCGTCCTACATTTAGGACACTAGGCACATAGGGATGACAATTATAACTGGTTATGTTCTTTGATATAACATGATAAAACACTTTGTGTGAAGTCCAACGTCAGAATCCCAATAAACACACACACACGTGTAATAAACGACATAAATGGAACATATGTTATTTACTTGATTATCAAAACGACAAATTGTATTTGAAGATAACTATAGAAATGAAAAAATACCTCACAAATAATCAATTTGCTGAAATGACGACCCTACTTCAAATTGTTGTAGAGCACAAATCAAGCAACTCTGTGAATATTTTTGACATGTACATAATCATTGTATGAGATGAATGAATGCGTAGTCCTGCTATATGGCGCTAGTGTTGGGGAAAAATAGAGCTAGCATAGGTGTATTACATATAGGACATTAGGCATATCTGGGTAAACAAGATGATCATTTTGCCCTGTTACTTCGTATGATAAATGTGTCGGAATGTTTGAACACAGTTTGATTGCACTTTTTCATAGACTCTAACCATTTCATTTTGTATTTGAGCGGTGCTAATGGTAAGTCTTCTATACGTTGGGGTTTGGGACTCAATATAGTCTAGGTATGCTTCCATGCTGAATTTACGAAAAAAGAAGATTGATGGACTTTCCAAATATGTGAACTGAGACCTAGAGCTCATCAATAAGTGATTTTGAAATTACAAAGTGTCAAATTAGGCGATCGCGTGGAAATTCTTGAATGCGAAATAAATCAACGCCGATAAAGATTATAGTTAAAAGAATCACGACTGCAATAATAATTGATCATAAGGAAATGCTCCACGCGAAATGTTGACGTCACTATCTTCCCCAGCCAACACATCTGTGAGATGTCGCGATCAGGTAGCACTGCGATACTATACGAATGTCCCATCGCTGCGATGTACAGGGTGGTCAAATTGGACACTTTTAAAGGGAAAGTCCTTTTCTCGAACCAGATGAAAAAACAACTAATGTCATTACCTGGGGATCAATTCTCATGAAAAACTTACTGGTGAAATACGCATATCGATATATATGTCTTCGTTTCGGAGTTACAAGGTGTTTTTCGAAAATGATCATTTTTTAAAAGTGGCTACAGATATTTTTTTGGCAACAATTGTCTGTTCTTATGAAAATTACTGCGAAGCATTGAGTTTGTGATGAAAATTTTACTCAAGGCACTGAAATCGGCCTTCTTTTCTTGAAAGAAAAGTTCTATTCTTAAACTGGGTATATGGTGTCTGATTTCAGTGCCTGAGGACCAATTTTTATGACAAACACAATGTTTTGCAAATGTTTTCATGGAAACGAAGAATTTTTGACAAGAAAGGAGTTTTAGTCGCACTTTTCAAAAATCCACATTTTCGAAACAAACCTTGCCGCTCTGAAGTAAAGATAGATATCGATATGCGGTTTTCACCATGGAGTTTTTTATGTGAATTGAGATCTACACATGTAGACTTCGTATCTCCAAAATTTGATATTTAGATTCTTGTTGGGTGAAAAAGAATTCATGATTTTACGTTACTCAAGGAAGTAAAGATGAATTCCCAAACATTCGTTACATTGCTATCAAACTCTTCTTGGTTAACTTACATCTCGCCGACATACACTACATAATTTTCTATATAAATACGAGTAACTGCGATTTCATTCTGATGTAGATGCGTATAGGTCAACTATAAGGATAGCGCCCCTGAAATGACGATTGAATGGACAGGAGACCTGAGGGACCACCAACCAGTCACATCGATCCAACAATGTATAAGCAATATTAATAAATGTTATCAGAGCTCAGTGGTGTATTACACCACGTTTAAGGAAACTCTTTTACGTCATCTCGCATCACATCGTAGTTTTATTGCAAAAACAGATCGATCTTTCATGAGAAATTACATATCGCAATTACTTCGCAAAAATATATCGCAGTTATATCGCAGAGAACGCAGCGACGTCGGATGAAACTTGAACGGGATCAAATAACATCCCTCTGACATCGCAGTGACGTCTATGCGACACAGAATGTGATATCGCAGGTCACAACTGTTGCATCGCTGCGATATCTCTGTGATGTAATTGTGTTCGCTGAGAAGTGACGCATTTCGCTTGGAGGAATTCTGGTATCGAGATCTATGTAAGAGTGGCTCTAGACACGGCAAAAAATCATTTGGAACAAGTGTCACGGCTACGACTCTGTTCAATAGATCTCAATCAGTGCTAGTGTATCAGAGAATCCACTGAAATGGACAAGGTGCATTGGATCGGCGAGACCACAGACACGGGAGACGAAGATGGAATCCTTAATGGGATTTCTTCGATCCTTTCCAAGTCCGCCGCTCCTGCAGAATTCTGTTTGCACAATCTCGGACTCGTACGCTGAAAAATTAAAGAAACAACGGTTCAGAACACATGTTATTCCTTGTGACGGTTCTAATACGCCATCCTGAAATAGCTATCAATGAGTACAAGAATATAATGCGATGCCAACGGCTCGTTATGAAACCTAGGATGAATATCTATACTTTGGTGTTTTTATATATATATCTAAATAAATGTAGGTATACCTTCTATTTTATTTAAGGTCTAAAGCAAACAACCAATTTTTATTCTTTGGTATTAACTTCATATATGTTAAGCAAATTTTCCGAAATCAATGCGATAAACAAGTACCTTCCAAATAGCTTTTTTTACAAAATGAATCTACTTTATTCTGAATATGTTTCGATTATGAGAAAATTTCTCTATACTCACGGCAAAAATAAATGTTTTCTTCAAGCGTCAGAAACTGCCTTGTCTTGTCTTCAGTGTTCCAACGTAAAACAATGGAAATGTTATGTTGGTGACATTGGAAATGGAAAAACATGGAGAAGATGACCATAAAAAAGGACTAGAATGGTCTTTCTCTCCATTTCTTGTCATTTCCAGTGTTGCCAACATAAAATGTTCATTCACTTATGTTGGAACACTAAAGACGAGGACAGATGGTGAAGAAATTTTTTTCTCCCTCCACGATAGCTGGACTGCTTTAATGTCACACGAGCAGCGCATGTTATTTTTGTGTCACAAATTTTGACAAACAGGGTGTTTGGTTCACCGACGTACATCTTTTGAACACAAGGACATTTTTATTTGCTTATATTTTTCAAGTATTTTGATAACGAAAAAGTGAAAATGAAGGAACTTCAAATGGATATGAATAAATCAAAATATATCTTGATGAGGTTGAAATAATGTACCTGAATTAATGGTAGAGTAGTCTTGAATGATTTTTATAAAGCAAGGGATAGTGATTCATTTCTCAATTTTGCGAAATTATTCAGAGATTCTCTAAGTCATTTCAAATGACCGAAGGCGCCAGTTTTCCATTTAGGTATATATTTTGTGTTCGACTGATCGAACATTTCAAAGTGATTGATATTTTTCAATTCAAAGTACTGATCTGTTTCTTTTAGTCATTGATACAGGAAGATACTCTATTTTGAAAATCACCACGGGAAGGGGAAGTGGTCGATTGCCCCTCTGCCCCCCTAAATGACGCCCATGATACTGGATCAGAGGACTACCGCGTTTTCTACCCCTTGATAACTTCCTTCTGTACTGAAAGAAACACTGTTGTTAGTGCTGTTACGTTTTCAATCTTCTATTCAGTGACTTATTCGCGAAATTTCGTACGGAGACGTGTAAAAAAGCGAAGTTTCTCCCAACCAGTTCCATATACAATGATCGCGAGAACAATGAAACAGTAGCGATTCTGAACATGGTCGCCGCCAGAGTATAATTGAGAAGGCGCCAACATGAAAAATATAATGATGTCAAGCTAATGTGAAATATTGATTTATCTAACCAACCTAGGTGATCCATAACTTACAGTGGAGGTGATATAAATCAGGAGGGGCGGAACAACTTACAGTCACAACTCCACCACATAAACAATTCGATAATGACCAACGGTCATGGACATAAGGACATGTTTCGAAGGATTAATCCTTAATCATCAGCAAATTTATAAAAAGAAAATCTGCAAGAAGAAACAACGCTTATGTTAGTTTTTAAGTATTGATTAAACATCCAAATGTACCCACCATTATTGGTGGAAAAAGATTACTCATTAAGAAACATGAAAACACTATTTTTAACCGCGCATAGTGCGGGTGAATAACTGTTAGGGAACCATGATAACAGCTCTATAAGAGCTTAGTTTTCGAAAATAATATGATATGAATCAAATATTATATTGATTTATCTGCTCACTGAATCGAAAGTAGGCGGTTGCTCCCTCATGCAAGGCAACAAAGTTGTCAATATACTCCCACGGGAGGAAAAACATATTACCTCCCGTGGAAGGTAAAATAAATTGGCATCATCATGTATCTTCTGGCGTCGAAATACCTATGAAATTGTGCAATCCAAGTAATCAGTGTCTTCATCACTATATTATAAAACAAATAAAAATAATTTCCTTTTTGGATTCCAATGATATCATACGCTTCTTCATATTCCAAACGTACTTCTAATTAAAACTTTCAAATGAAGTTCCAAAATCAAAAAATCAATTCATACCTGATGACAGAAGTGTCAAATTGACTTTCGTTTTTAATACCGTCAATTGTCTATGGCATACCTTTGTAATGCATAATGATTCGGATCAAGAGATAGAACACCTGAAGCGTTCGTTGATGAAATCATATACAGGGTGTTAGTGAATAAGTTCAGATAAACATGAGTCCTCACTTGCTCCTTTTTCGATACACAGGATGTTGAAGTTGAAAGTATTAATCGTTTTTATTTATAACGCCCCTGTATAAGCTTCCATGGTGCTAAAATTCAGTATGGTTGGAGACTGAAAAAGTCCCAAAATTTCAAAATTATTCTTCTGAAATTGTTGTTGTTTTAAAATTGTTCTATCCGTCATTCGGTTGCCCCCTTACGACCAACCCTCAGAAGTCTTCGAGAGTCTTGTGCGAGCAAGGAATGACGGAGGCCTTACCTTTTATCGTGTGATCCCAAACACTTCCTTGGGCCATCAGAAAAATTTCTGCAGTCGATTGGAATCGAACCCACGACCGGCAAGCGAATGCGGATTAGGATATTGACACTCTGTCCACACGGCTACCTGGCCACCTTATTGAGGTTATTGAGTAATCTCAATGAATGTTTCCAGTGCAATAGAATTTGTAGTCGAATCGAATTTTTATTGTTTCCTCAAATACTAAGCGAGATGCAAAAGGTACACAAAGGATAGGAAAATTGATATTTCAATTGTTCAATCTGATGAAAATATGGAAGTTAGGAAAACCAGTGGCGTACAATTATATTAACCGTAAATATTGATAAATTAACCCACAGTGACGCCACTGGAAATATTTTTCCGAATTCAATCACATCAGGAGAAGCTCCATGTTATATTCAACAAAACCACCAAGTTTGAATGTAGTCAGTTATGACACACGTTCATATTAACTGTATTTTATTTTTTATCACTAACACCCTGTATATATCATGAGAGCAGAGGTTCATTTCCTCCCATGTGTGGTTAATGCCCTCCGCTACGCGTCTTGCATCAATTTTCCCACGCGGGAGGAAATGGATACTTTTCCTCCCTTGATATATCAATAGCTATTGTTCTTCTCACAAGCCTCATTATTTCATTTCTGAAGATCCCTATTCAAGTGACTTGCGACATACCTGGTAAAAGTTTTATTGAGTCTCCAATCTAAGATCCAGTTTGTATACCATTATAGAAAATGGGTGATTCTGGAAAGTATTGGATTTCTGCTGAGACCATTCACTGACTTGTTCTGATTGGTAGTCTCTGTACGGTCATCCGTTGTAGATGAGGAATTTTTGTATTTTTATTAGATAAGTAGCGGACTAATTGAAAACTGTTTATTCTTGTTATATAAATCTGTCACCACCTTGATTTGGGAGTATCTTTGGTTTCAAAATATTATCGGTAATAGTATGTATGTACTTCGTTGCTATAGGTATGTCCATCCAAACTGACTGGGAATCGACGTCCATTGAGGTCCTTCAACCCAGTGTTATGAAATGATGTGTTCTGTGTAGGTTTTGTTACTAACTCCATACGCCATCTCATATAGGAGCAGCACTGTTAATAATTAACAGGACTATATCCAGCTGATGCTTCTAAACTTAACAACATTCAATTCATAAATTGCATATTGAAAAAATGTTTTGCCCTGGCTGGGATTCGAACCCACGACTTCGCGGTCATGTATCTAGCGGTCAATCAAGTCGACGAATATTATCAGTTGAAAACCGTTCGTGTTTTTGTTGCACTTACATGAAAAAGTTCCTATTACTCATGTTCATAACTACATTCTGCCGGAGATACCGCGCGATTTCTTATATTATTCTTTCAACATCCAAAAATGATCAAGTGATTGAGGAACATTTCTATATGTTATTAAACGCATTCGCATCACATCCACCTATTATGTTTTAGTGTTTCACCACCCATGTGATGTAGGGTCCAAGAAAACATAATTCACTCGATTATAATTGAATACCTTGGGGCAACAAGGATATGAGCCTCAAGATGTTACTTTCGAGAAAATCTTCATTGAAGATTTTGTTGAAATCCAGCAATCCAGTTTTTTCAATTTTGAATAAATAGGTTTCGAATTTTGTTGAAGTATATTATGAACAAGGTATCAAAGGATAAATGTACAGAATAAACCTCGCACTAGGAGAAAAAATTGCAAAAATGTAGAAATAAAGTGGCTTGCACATGATTTTCCTCAGAGAAAACATGATAATTTTGACAAAAATGAGTGTTCTATTGTTCCATTTTGAAGTTTCTTCAACTTTATCTCAAGTGGTTACTATAAACATAGAAAGGTTCATTTGGTTTCAGTTTAATGAAAAATAAAAATAGAAATTAACTTTTTATTTTTCCGTATATTGATGAAATGTGTGTCTCCATCTTGAATCAAGTTTCTTTTTCGGTGTCGGTATTTGTCCTCCCGAAGCTGCAGGAATTCCATTGACCTCCCGTTGCGCAGCAATTTGATTTGTTATTATATAAGGGGAAAAAGTGTTAGATTTCACCTCGAGGTTGTGCTGTCTCCCGTCGCGTATAGCGGTGGGATACAGAAAACCAAGAGCTAAAATCTAATATTTTCCCGTGTAAAATACACAACTTTGTTCTTGTGACAGGATAACAACGATTCATTATTGAGAAGATATTACATTAATAAAATTAAAAAATCATCGATGTGAAACTTGAAGTTTCCAACTGGTAGTACATGCACCTGTGTTCACAGGAATCTTTTTGTAGGCATCTTTATTGTTGCTAAATGGAAACCACTTGAAGTAATGAAATATGTGTTAATTTGATTCTGTGTTTTGATTTT